TAATCGAGTCTAGGGGTCAGGTGTAACATTCCAATTTTGCCCACACTATCATCCGGCAAGTATTTAACAGTATACACCCATTTACAACCCATAACATGCTTACCGGGAGGAAGAGTAGTAAGCTCCCACATTTAAGTATGCTGAAGGGAAGAGAGTGCCTCTTCCATTGCCTACCGCCACCCAGGTGAGGTAAGAGCCTCCTGGACATTCTTAGGTATAGAAATAGACGACAATAGTAAAACAAACTGGCGATGTGAAGTGGAAAGGCAAGAGACTAAAACAAAATTGGAAATGAGATGGAGGGTACAACTACGTTTACCTTTCCGTAAAGCAATGGGAAGATCAAGTCCTAAAGGTTCTGGGACAGCAGCAACAACAGGACCCGCAGACAAGGTAGAAGCTGGAGGATGAGCCGGTGTTTGTCGATGAGTATACGCATGCCAGACCGGTGGTCATTCAGTAGGAATCTACACTGGAGGAGGTGAATGGTCAGCCCCAACTGGAACAACCAGAACGGGATCATAGACTGGAAGAGGAAGACGAAGCAAAGGAGGAGATACCGATACTTCAGGTCCTGATAAGAAGGGAACAGACTCTCCAACTCCACCACTTTCTTGTTTAACTCCAACATTCATAATTGACTCTTTCTTCTTAAAACACATATAACAGTTGTTCCCATTACCATAATGTTATCCACATACACAGCCAAAATGGTAACAACCCTGTTTACCCATTTAAAGACATGTGATCTACTTGAGACGAACGGTATCCCATATCTAGAATGGCATCTCTGAACCTTCAAACTGTGCCCTAGGATATTGTTTCAAATCATAAACATCATTTCTCAATTTATATACCTTTCTACGAGTACCATCAATAGTCTTAAATGTGCTATCACCAAAAGAAGAGAAGATAGAGAAGAAGAAAAAGAATAGAAGGATGGCATTATGGTATACAAATACTATAGTGTAGTTAAAGAAATCATATGATCACAATGATATACCATAGTGTAGTTTGAAGAAATAAATAAAAAGGATCAAACTCAATCAATCATATCAACGATAAAATAGAAAAATCTACTAATTCTTTTATTGAATTGCAGTATATAAACCACACATTTTCAAGAAACTTAAAGAGATGACGGCGTATATCTCTCTGGAGATCCTCCGGCAAATTCTGCAGCACCATTTCTTCTTTCACACCTTGTGTTGCAGCCCAATTAAAACGTTCAGATTGTCGTACTTGCCTACATTATATAAAACCCATATGAGTAAGATCAAATGAATTAGATTGTTCCATTTAAAATAAAAAATTCATAAACACAAAACTTGGCATATCCAATCCGGTGTAGTGTATCATCTGAGAGTGTAGATCAGATTATGGCATATCCAATTGGGGCATGCCTCTTTTATTTCTCCAAGGCCTTTGTTTCTTGAATTGTTTAAGTTAATCAGTATATCTAATCTATAGTGTGAGGGAGTCGATTTGTGAAGCATTGTAGAAACTCTTATTTTTCAAGTAATAAAAGAAGCAATTTTCCTTTTGATATTGTGCATATTGATGTGCGGGGACCATTTCATATTCCTTAATTAGTTAGTCGATGCCTTTGCTAATTTGGCTTGTGATTTGCAGACTTCAACGGTTTATGACTCTATTTTGTCCATTCCCTCTCATGTTCATAGAATTTTTATGGATGATTATCATGGACTCCCTTACATTTGAGCTTTTTGATTTCCTCGTTTCCGGTTTTGGTTTTGTTTTTGATGTATATATTTATAAGCCGGAAACTTGGTGTATAGATTTCCTAGAGGGGTAAGGTTTTTATGTCCCCCCCCTCATAGGTTTTTCCTTATGATTATTTTAATAAAATTTTTGGTGGCCAACCCTTTACCGGGACTAAATTTTGGGGTTAAAAATCTCTTGGGTTTATCTTATGTGGTCTCAAGATGAGGTTTCCATGTTCATTAAACAATTTTATTAAGTGGTTTTTACACAGTTCTCTATGAATTAAAGTATTCCAAAATAATGCCAAGGAATACTTTGAGAGGAATCTTGCTGCCTATTTGTTGAACAATGGAGTTATTCATCAAAGTAACTATGTCTATACACTATACACCTCAACACAATGGAGTGGCAAAGAGGAAGAACTAGCATATACAAAAGGTGTCTCGGACTATCATGTTGAACTCTCATGTTCCTATTTGTCATTGAGGGAATGTAGTCCATACAACTATGTTTCTCATAAACAGAGTCCCTTTCTCGGGTTTTGGGGTTTAAAACTCCCTTCTGTCTTTTGTATCCTTGTAATGATCTCTTTTCTCTTTATTGTTCATTTACATGTTTTTGGGTGCACATGTTTTCTCTATGTATTCTTGGTCCCCTAATGTCCCCCCAAGGTCGAAAATGATCCCAAGGCTGTGAAATGCATTTTCTTGGGATATGAAAAATCAAAAAGGATATTGCTGCTATGACACAGTGACGAGGAACAGATATGCCACTTTCTTTGAGTCTACTCATTATTCCCAAGGGAAGAGAGAAATTGAGATCAACCTTAAGAACCGTAATATCCCTCGTCCTGTTTCCATTATTGAAGCCATTCTAGAGAAGCCACTATGGATGTATGAGAGGAAAAGGAGGAGAGGTGCTTACTCCCATCACACATCCCACTGCAGCCACTTCAGATCTCCTATAAGAATGAAGGTTTTGATGATACAGCAGCTACATTATAACAGAGTACCAATGTGTCAACAGAGTACAAGGAACATAGAACAACAGAGAAAGAAACAGAATTATAAGGTTGGTTCTCGTGATGACCACACCCAAACAAAAGAATATTTATATTAAGTAAGATAGACAATTCTGTCCTTACAAGAATAAGAGAAAAACAACAATGTAAAAAATACAAAAAACAGAGTGCAAAAAGGATAAAATTACAAATATTAACCGCCATTATCTCAACACTTCTCCCACAAAATAAATAGTTTGGATGGAGATGCATAAAGAAATGCATTACCTTCCTGTGATCAAAATGTTTCTTCATAGCCTTTAGACAACACTCAATAGAGAAGTCTCCCAGGTGAACTAGGTCATATTCTGAGCAAAGGTTACCAAATCCAGAATAGTATTCCTGGATTTTCTTCTCTCCCCAAGTGTATGAGAATATGTCCATCTCAATCTGATATTGTCTAGACGTGTTGGACTGCTAATAGACCTTCTCAAGAAATTCATACATGTCATAAGCAATCTTCAGACCTTGTGTAGGTATAGCCACATCAATCGTAATGGAACCCAATATTCATGAAACAATTTGAGCATTATTGATTTTCCACTCCTTCAGTCCCTTTATATCATCGGGTTTGGGTGTAGACCTACCCAGATAACCCCACAATCCTTTTCCTTCAACCAAAAACTGGAAATGAAACTTAGACAATGCATAGTTTGTTCCATCAAACTTTACAGAAAACTTTACCCTTCTAAAATCCCATATTTAGTGAAAACAGATGAATCAGTAGAAATTCACAACACAAATCACCAGAAAACATGTAATAGTGCTTATACAAAGGAAGGAAAATCCCCTGATAACCCAGAAAAACAGGAACCTGAAGTCCAAAGATGTTGCAGTCCAAAAAAAAAAAAGGAAATTGTAACCTACTACTACCCAAGGAAGAAGATTAGAACTCCTTCAAAACCTTCACCAAATCAGATGCTATTTGTAGGGTAAATAGGTCAGGTCTAGGCAACACTAGATCTGAAGTTTGGCCTTGATCTGAATCTCCCAAGAGAGATCTTTTAAAATCTCTCCAATTGGTTGCATAAAACAAACTGGACAGTAATAAGGGTTGAGCAAAACAGCCCTAATCCCTTTAACTGAACGGAGAAGGAAGTAAATCCTAATAGAATGATAGGATTACTTCTTTCAACAAGGATTAGAAGATGAAAGAAAAGAAGTATCAAAGAGCAGCCTGCTATGATACCATGTCAGTTCTAGTCTTTGTACATCTCTGAATTCAGCACCCACAAATTGCATAAGTGAGAGATATGAGAGTTAGCTCTTCCAAGGTTCTAGCTTTGTTGTTAAAATGCGGTTGTTTCATTTCCCAGACACCCCACATGCTTGCTTGGGCCACCGTGTTCCAGTAGAGTTTGCCCCTTGTGAGTATTAAAAGGTTTAGCTCTTAATTTTCATGTCTTTTAACACATCTAAGATATAATTTTACTAAGATAAATATCAACGTTTTGGATCAAGCTACAATGATTCCTAAGAAATACATCAAGCCACTAAGATCCTTGATTTCAAATTTAACAGCCAAAAGAACTTCAATTTGGCTATTTTGAAGGGTTATTGCCTAGAACAATAATGTCACCAATATATAAATAATGAGATGAGTAATTAAACTTCGGCCATATACCAGACCACTGCTACCACTACGAATAGACTGAACTTCCCGAGCTCCACCTCTAACACCACAGCCCCTTGATACTACAAAGGCTGATCTATCGGAAACGTTAGAGTTCTCAGTAGATCCAATGGAAATTCTCCGAAGTCGAGCAAACACCTCTTCTAAGGAAGGGAGAGCTGACCCTCATAGTATCTAAGCCCACACTGGTTCATACTCAGATTTCTGCCCTACTATAAATCGAGTCACATCAAGTTGTTCTCTTTGTTGTTGTTGACTTTTGACATCAGAAGTGAGGGGGTGGTAAACATTCAACTCATTACGAATGTTTCTCATACTAGCATAGTACTCCTCAAGACTCTGATTTCCCTGTTGCAAATACAACTTCTTGATACAGTTGATATACTCTGGTTGTATTGTCTTGACCAGAATACAACTTCTTAGCATGGTCCCACACATCTTTGGCAGTGTCAAGAAACATGAAATTTACACTAATTTTGGATTCATACTATTCCATAACCATGTGATAATCTGTGCATCCTCTTGTTCCAAGTCATCATACCCATGAGAATCAATGGAGGGTTTTTCCTCCCTTATGTGTTTCAGCTTCTTCTTTGCCTTCAAAAAAACTTCTACAGATTTAGCCCAAGGTACATAATTCTCTCCATTCAATTTAATGGAGGTCATTTGAACATTTAGGTAGTCAATAGGTATCATCACATTAGATTTGCTATCACTGCTATCTCCCATTGCTGAATTCGGCACATTGCATACTAGACCACACCACACACAGATCACACTGGTTTCAGCACTTGTTATTGCTGAAGATTGCACTCTTAACACCACAAACCCTATCCCACGACTACCTGAAATCTCACCACACTATATGAGGACCACTCCTCCTTCAAATCACACAGAAAACAGCATAAACCCTAGCACACTACAGTCTGAAATCTCACCGTACGATCTGAAACATAATTCTTATTTGATTCATAACAAAAAAAAATATATAGAAATCTTTTATCTCATCACCTGAAATTTAAACAACACAAGACACCCATTTCACCACACGAATCGCCCCTCTTTTCTTCATCGATTAGGGGAGGGTTTCTTAGAAACCACAACAACCGACCACGAACAACACAACTGGAGGCATAGAGACATCCAAGGGAAGAGGGCGACCACTCCTTTTCAGCCCTTTCCCTCCTTTTCTCCAACCGATGGCAAAGAAACCAAGAGAAAACCCTAGACTGGGTGTGCAGAAAACAGAAATTTGGGCAGATCCGAGTTGCTTAGTTGAGCTCTGATACCATATTATGATTCGGCCTGCCCTTGAGTTCTGTTAGTTTGATAACAGCCAAGAAGAGAGAAGAAGAAAGAAGAAAGAAAGAGAGAGAGAAAGGACGAGAAAAGGAGAGAAGAAAAGTTTGGTTCGAATGAGAGAAAAAAATTACCTCTCCCATTCGGCTAGATATGTTTTATAATACTAACATAATGGAAAAGACACATATGCCCCTACTTAAGTGAGGGACACTAGTTCTAACATAATATTACACATCAGCAACCTCAACATAAGTATAAAGACAGAAATACCCCTACATACTCAACACTAACAAAGGAACTTTACTAATGCTTTCCTAATCTTACTAAAACTAACTTAATGTGAATACACCAGAAATTACTAAAATAGTAAGTTGAGATTTTATTATTGATAGTAATTTTGGATATTACTATAACTAGTAAGTCCAAAAGTTACCATAAATACTAATTTAAAAATAATAATAAATTTCCATAAAACTTAAAACCCTATTCTTAAGATAACCTACAAATTCAATAAGATGGTTGCATGTTTAGTAGTCCCCAGCCCACTTGTATTTCTCGTTACTTCTCCCATGAAATTCCTTCTTGAAAATAAGGCCTAAAGACCTTTTCAGGTTGTTTCTTCCTACTTTTCAGATTGTTAGATTCTCATTGGACTTCCAAAAAGATTCAAATTGATTCTACAAATGCTGATGCTTCAAGCTTCCTCTTCTGCAATCATGGACAACTAACAATTGTGGCATTTATAAATACAGATTGAGTTGGTTTTGTGAATGGTAGGAAATCTACCTTGGGTTGTACCTTTGTTAGTGAGACCTTAGTGGTTGGGATAAAAAAAAAAAGTACCAGGAGGTGCAAAAAACAGTAAGTCATTGCTCAATCAAGTGCTTCGGCAGAGTATCATCCCATATCAGATGGAGTTGCTTAATTTCATTTGTTGAAGATCCTTTTATTGAGAACATGGAATAATTGTTGGAGAGCCTTTTCTTTTCTGACAACATGGCAGTAACCAATATCCAAATAAACCAGTTGATCATGATAGGACCAAATATATAGAAGTTGAAAACCATTTCATTTGTGAGAAGATTTCCACTAAAAAGATCCTAACTTTCTTAGGACTGGTAATCATCTAGAATTATTATGAAAGGATTGATGCTCTCATCTAGGAGGATGGGGGAGAGACAAAGGAGAATGCATGACTTCAATGAAAATCTCATATAAATCCAGACAAAATCAATAAAAGCAAACCAGTGTAAAACAAATGTTAAACTTTAGATACTAAAGTTCAAAAGGAGAAGTAAATGACTAAACATCAGCAAAACAAGCAGATCTTTTTGAGGAAGAAGAAATAATAATTAGTAGGAAGGTATCAAATCTGGAATACCTTCTTAACTTTATAGGCAAACGCCTATGACTCATCCAATGCTCAACATCACGACGCCTTAGCTGCATTTCTAGTCGCCTTCACAAACATAAATGAAGATAATGTCAATTAGGTATTGGGTTAAATTACAAAAATCCAAATGAAAGAGAAACCTTTTAAGTTAAAGCAGAACTCAGAAAACATTATATTTTCTCTTACATTCGTTTTTCTAGGTAATAAGCTTATAGATTCATGAGAAAACAAGCACAATAATGGATTGATAAAATCCAGAGATCCTGTTGGTAATATTATATCTCCAGAAAACTAGCTATATCTATCAGTAGAAGGAAAAAAAGTCATTTTAAAATTGGTGAATAATGGAAATGTAATGTAGGAACAAGGATAAATCACTCTATTGGCTATGAGAAATGCATAAGCAAGAAGATAAATGTTTTGTAATGGATGTTTGTATGATGACAAGATAAATACAACAATGCAATGTAGGAACAGTGTTTTGCAGAATTTAAAGATTTCCTCTTGAGAAACCATTATTATATGCCCTACCATAGTCCACCTTCAACACTTCAAACCCTAAACTATAAAGAGAATATACCATTACTTTCTATCTCCTTACAGACCACCCTAGGAATACAAAGTATAGCATCCCTCTGAATAATCCTTCTGTTGGAACCACTTCCCAACCATAGCATCCCTCCTAACAGACCACCCTAAAATATTTAGTTAGGCTGCATTTGGGATTGCTACTTCTACAGGCTTTTTGTGCTTTTTCCAGTTGGAGAAGCCAAAAGATAGTCAAAACCATTTGGAAAAAAAAAAGCTCGAAGCAGGTTTTTTGCATAAAAAAACCCCATTCAAAAAAAGCAGAAAAATTTTCATTTAGCTTTTTACATTTGCAAGAAGCTAATTTGAACAAAAAAGCTGGTGAGCAACCAAACACTAAAAAACTGCTCTTTGAAAATGATCATCTCAAAAAGTGGCTTTTCCAGAAGTGTGTATAGGCCAAAAAGCATTCCCAAACATGGCCTGAGATATTTATCTTATTTCCTCACACAACATTTCTGACTTGTTCATGTCTAGCAGAATTTCTAAGTCCCCTACATTTAAAAATATAATCTTTACTATTAATCTCAGCTCAAGGTAATGATTTTTTTATTGGTATTATGATGATTTTTTTCCACAGTCACCAACCCCAAATTCACCCACATTGATTTCTGAAGAGAAGAAATACGGAACTAGAAGTTCTAGGGAATTACTATTATTTGTAATGGAAAACTGAACAGTAAAAAATATCTGTCTCATAGTAGATACCTAAGAACAGAAAATTATAAAAAATTATAAACACCTACTAAGTTCTTTGTACAGATCTCTAGGGGTGTAAACGGATCAAATTCGAATCGGATCAAGCAATATCCGAATTTGAATCTGATTAGAAAATTCGATATCCGAATTCGATTTGATATCCGACAGATTTTCAAAATTAATATCCGAATTTGAATCCAACTAAATATTTGAATATTTGATTTGATTTGATTCGATTCAAATTCGATTAATTAATTATTTTAGATAATTAATAAATATATAAAATAAATATTTTATTTATATAAAGTATATAAATATATAAATTATTCATATAATTTACTTATTATAAATATAAATTATATTAGAAATTTAAATATTTTATATATTATATATAAGAATTAAATAATCGGTCGAATTCGGATATTTATCAAATCGAATCAGGTCGTATCCGAATTCGAATCCAATTAGCTATTTGGTATGAATAGGATATCCAAATTCGACCGATTAGATAATTGAATTATCTGACTCCAATTCGATTATGTTGAATCTCGAATTCGAAATCGGATTTTCGAATACCGTTGACACCACTACAGATCTCCTACTTTCCTCATTTCTCTATATAATAAATTTTTGCTATTTGTTCACTGTTACATATTCGTTACTGCTAGGAGGTCATACAGAAATTCTACTTCTGGACCAATGTTCATCAATATACCAGTAAATAAACATATTGTAATTGAATCCTTTCATATACACCTATTGTTTTGCCCTAAGGAACTAATCAATCAGATACCACATCTTGTGTGCCCATAAGACTAAAAACTAATTCAATTTTTTTGTACCTGTAGAGAAGATGGGCCGAATGGCCCATAGATAGTTAGTTCATGTTATGTTATGTTATGTTATGTTTCTCTCTGTTGTGGGCCTTATTCTGGGCCCATACTCTGTATTATTCTGTTTTTTGTATTTTCCTGCTCTCTCAAGGGCCTCTCTGTAATTTGTCAAAGATTAACTTATTAATAAGATGTTTAGAGTGTTAGAGAGAGGTAATGTTCGAACCTCTTACTCTCTAACACTCATTGCCGCCAGCTCTT